CCCCTCCTGGGTACCGAACATCACCTCCAAATAGGAACCCCAGCACAACAAGCAGCAGTGGTTGGTCCCCACAGCCAGGGAGATGGTGCTGGTGGAGACGATGCAGATCATGAGCATCGCCCAGGAGGGAGGCACAGAACTCGGTGCCCTTCTGCTATCAGAAACAAGGGCAGAGCTGGAGGAGCTCTGACAGCCCTGCCTGGACTCCTTCCAGCGTTCATGTGCAAACGAATTGTCAGCTCCTCACCAAAGGGTCCAATCCTGCAGCAGATCACCAGCCCGAGCAGCGCTGACACGAGCACAGCCTTTGATGTCAATGGGGTAGCTCACACCCATGTCTGATTCTTGCCTTGGCTCCTTAGGAGAAGGACAAGTAACAATTGCCAACTTATTTCAATTAGTCAGCATCTCTGTGCTTGCCAGCCTGGGCACTCTGCGAGCACTTGCTCCAGGACACACACGTTTGGCCATTCCCAAGGTGCTGCTTTGTGTAAACCACAAATACTTGTTTCTTGGAGCAGACACGGTGGAAGACCTGAAGGTAGCTCACGCAGAACTCATCGGGCTCAGTTAAGTGGCAATCCCTTCGTCAAGCTGAGGGTGGAAAGGCCAGAGGATTGTGAAGCGCAAGGCTGTCAAAACTGTGCTTTGCATGACTGGAAAGCACAATGAGGAGAGGACCTGACAGGCTGTGAGGCTGGGCATGGAGGCAGTGCTGGAGCAGGGATCAGGCAAAGCCAGGAACTGTGCTCATCACCAAAGCGCAGGGACGCTGCAGGCACCCCTGAGCCAGGGCCAGGCCGCTGTGGGGACAGAGAGCAACAAAAAACTCTGGTCCAATGGGATCTGCCCTGTGGTTTCCCTGTGTTGAACCCCAAGGGCTGCTGGTGGGGCTGTTACCACTGGCACAGCAGCTGGGAAACATCCCAAGGGATGCTGCGATGCCTCCAGCCCCATCCCGGAGTTGGGAATGTGTCACAGACAACAGGGAAGCATCTGGGAAGTAACCACGTCAGTCTGTCCTTCCAGCCTTGAGGAGCTGGGTGAGGACACATCCTCTTCAGCCTTCTGATGTCCAAAGAGCCCTTGATGAGAGAGGTTAATTAAGAGCAAACCAACCTCCTCCCCAGGCACTCCACCACCGCCCCAGTCTGGGCAGTCAGGAGGATGAAGGGGAAGGGCAGGAGGAATCCCAGCACAGCCTGAGCCTAACTCACAAACCAGCACAGGCTGCTGCTTTCTAATCTGACCCTGCAGAGCTGCCTGTGGGGACTCCATCCCCAGAGCCCTCCCAGGGCCAAAGTCACCCCTTTCAATATGATTTTGGCAGTTTACTGGGCCTGAGCTCCCACTCTAGGGAGAGGAAAGGATTATCCCTGGCCCTGGTTCAGAGGCAGTCCTGTGAAGGTGTGATCTCCAGCCTCGCAGGACCGGAGCAGTGATCCCAACCGTTTCGCATGCTGCCAGCATCCTTCCTGCTCGGCTTTCTCAGCCTTTGCTTTTTAATTTCCTGTGGTCACAGAGCACCATATGAGGGTCTCCCAGGGTTGGTGTTTCCCACACTGGGTTGGGGGGAACACAGTGAGTTCAATCAGTCTCTGCACAGGGAAGTTACCTGCAAGGAGGAGCTGGATTTCACGATGGATTATCCACATATTTCAAGCCACAGTCAGTGTTAAAGCAAAGAAAACCCCAAACATCCCAGGGGAATATTTAAGCTGGTGGCTGCCAGCCATGAGCTGAGCCTTGCAGTGAAGAGGCAAATGGGATTAGATTGCAGGAAGAGCATTGGGGTGCAGGCACATGGGGACCAAACACCAGCCAGCACAGCCAGGAAAGCTGCATACTGCTTGACCTGTATCATTATGGAGCATCACATCACCTGGAAAAGACCCAACCCCTGCACCCTGGCTACTTTTGTTCAGAGCAGAGCTGATGATGCTTTTCACAGGAGAAGGTGCCTTAGGCTGTTTCCTGGCCCAAATCCAGCACCTGTCATTAAATCCTTGCTGTGTACATCTGCTGTGAAGCTCCAGCTCTGTCAGGGAAGCTCCCTCCCCATGGTCCTCAGCATCCTGCACTCACCACACACCAGCAGCACAGTGCTGGTGGAGAAGAGCTGGGGAGATGCAGGAGCATGGAGAGGCTGCAAGCTGGGTGCTGTGGATTTAAGGAGCTACACGGAGGTGGGTCAGGGCTCCTCAGCATCACAGGGCTGAGATGCTGCTGAGATGGGGCTGGAGGTGGAATTCAATGGGTATTCATTGCAGTTTTGGGATGCGCTTCAGAAATGCTGAGAATCTTGTCCATAAAAAGCACCACCCCAAAATAAAAGGTTCTTTTACCATGAAGGAAACCCCTGGGTTCCGGCAGGGTGAAGCTTCCCAGCTCACACAGGGCAGCAGCCAAACAAAATCAAGCAGGGATGGAGGCAAAGGCACTGCCTGGGAGCCCTGAGGGAACCTCTTCATGGCATCAGCAGCGGCAGGATTTCACTGGTGAGGCTGCCCCTGCAGCCAGCACTCGCTGGAAAAGAAAGCAGAAGCCGTTTATTCCCTATTTTCATTCTATTATTGTTGGTGTTGCACAGCAACGCTCGCAAAAGGCACTCACAAGCCTGTGGGATGCCCAGAAGTTAACAGGGAATTGTGGCTAAACAAGCGCTGACCTAGAAACGCCGAGTGCTTCAAAGACATCCTGCCCTTTTCGGGGTGTTTTTGCCTCTTTGCTGCTCAGGCTCCTCCAAGCACCACGGCTGCACAGCTCTGCCATAGCTGGACGCTGCAGCTCTGCAGCTCAATTGGCTGGTGGGGATTCTTTTTGCCTCAGAGTATGTAAATAAACATCAATATTCTAAAGCAAAGACCTCCCAGTAGCTAAACGTTATTTATCTTCAATTTCTCTGAAAACTAAACAGCTTTGTCACATCTGTACAATAATAAAGCAAATCACAGCGGAGGAATTTGATGTGATTGGTTTTATTTGGAGCGCACGCGTTCGGTACCCATTGCTAACAACAGAGTTTTCACAGCTCGTTAGAGATGTTGTTACAACTTTGGGGGAAGCTCCTTTCACTCCCCCACCAGTGACAGGAGACATCCCAGCCTCCCTGTTTGTTTTAGCTCTGTTCATCCCTCACAACAGTGACCGCTTCCAACCATATCAGGGAAATACTTCACTGGGGAAAGGCACTTTGTGAGCAGCGAACTTGGGAGCACGTACTCAGAATTTGGGTCTTTTTAGGTCTTAACGCGATCCCCCAAGTAGTGTTACCAATAATAAATACCAACATAGAATCATAGAACAGTTAGGGTTGGAAAGGACCTTAAGATCATCCAGTTCCAACCCTCCTGCCATGGGCAGGGACACCTCACACTAAACCATCTCACCCAAGACTCTGTCCAACCTGGCGTTGAACACCACCAGGGATGGAGCATTCACAACCTCCCTGGGCAACCCATTCCAGTGCCTCACCACCCTAACAGGAAAGAATTTCCTCCTTATATCCAATCTAAACTTCCCCTGTTTCAGTTTGAACCCGTTACCCCTTGTCCTGTCACTACAGTCCCTAGTGAAGAGTCCCTCCCCGGCATCCCTATAGGTCACCTTGCTTCCTGTGACCAATTAGCACATGACAGTGCACTTGCTAAGGATTAACAAAAAATACCTTTCTTATTTTATCCACAGCAACACTCGCGTGGCAGCCATGTGGCATTTTGCATCCCACATATCTGAGAGACCACACACCTCGCGTACACCCCCCCGATATAGACGCTGGCGCTCGTGGATCTCCCTTCTCAGTAGCTGGTGGCTGTGTCATGCGAGCAATGCACTCAGGCATTTGGGAGGTGTCAATCTCCCCCATCCAAGAGCTGCTTGCAGGGCATGACAGTACACGTCGGGGACACTGCAGCGGGATTGCGGAGCCCAGAGGCCCTTCTGCAAGCCTTAAGCAGGTTGAAACCTCCCTGCCGGCAGTGGAAATCTGTCTCGGTGAGGATCATCGGATAAAAACAAAGGCTTTGAAACCAAGGCAGAAATTAAAGCTCGTCAGTGGGATCTGCAGCTCTTGGAACAATGTTGGCGATGAGTAATTGTAGCTACAGAGGGGGAAAAAAAAAGGGTGAGCATAGCTCCAGAAGAGCCCAGCTTAGCAAGAATCCTGCTAATGCCGCTTTCTTCACTGCCGGCAGCTCTGGATGGTGCCTGGATCCAATGGGTATGAGTGTTACAACACAAATAATGGCTCAGTCCCACAAGGTGATGAGTCCTGACCCGGCCCAGCCACACACTCAGCCATGTGCTGCACTTCATGGTGTGAATCTGGGCTCTTTTTGTACTTGCTGGACCAAAAGCTAAAGTTTTCAGCAGCTGCAGGACCCAGTGCTGCATCTGAGATGGGGAAGGGTTCTCAGGCAGCCACACTGCTGCTGGGTATAGCTGCTGGACTGTGCGTGCAAAAGGGCTCAAAGAGCCAGCAGACAAGCACAGAAGAAACACTGAACTGCAAAGCTGTAATTGCCAGTTGAGCTGCAACTCCAAGGAAGCAGCAGCAGCTTGCACTGATCTCACCAGCACCCCTTGTACTTGCCAGGGGTCGCTTGCAGAGATGGAGGGACCAGTTCAGAGGGACTGATCCAGCCTGGCTGCTCTCCCACTGTTTGAAGTGCAGAGATGTATAAATCTATAGTAGGGAAGTGCCTGGGCACGGAGCAGGCTCCTGTGGGCCTGGGGAACACCGGCCCCTGTGGCTGGGCTCCTGCTTTCATTCCAGCTTGTCAGAGGTTCTAGAAAAGCACTGTTCAAAATTTACTTGTTGGTGATTTATCTGCTACATCCGTGTGCAGTGCCAGCGACAGCAAAGGACAAGCACAGGCATCCAGAGGGGTCACAAGACTAAGATCTTAAAGGCCAAGAAAGCTAAGCCACTCTTTACAAAGCATCCTGTCTCAGGAGATTTGGGAAATAAGGGTTACAAGGAATGAGGGATACTATTTACATAATACTGGTGGACGCCGTATTGAAGTGTTTTACATCCTGGTTACACTGAGGCAGCAGCTTTGTCAATAAACTGAGCCAGCTTCACATCTCTTTTGGTCAGTCCACCGCAGTCGTGGGAAATCAGAGTTATCTGAACCTGTCAGAAAAGGAAAAGAAAGGGGTTACAAAACCATTCTCATCTCAGACACAGTCAAGCAGCAATTCATCGGGAATGCTGCGTGCCTCTGGCAAGCTGGTTTTACATGATGCTCCCCACCAGCAGCGAGCTGGATGCTCTGCTCATGTAAACCAGAAGACGTTGTAGGTGGGGATGCTCAACAGAGCCTGAAGTGTAACCAAAGTGAGCCCCTTCACAGAAGAAAACAGGCTTGGTGTTCTTGGGCTTCACCCAAGAAGAGGCGTCTGATTAAATAACTCACTCTTCACGTTTAAATCCCACAAATGGGTTTCATGAAGAACCAAGCTGCCAACGGCCCAGTCAGGGGCTCCAGAGTTTGGTTAAAAACCCAGCACCCTGGAGGTGAAGAACTGGTTATGCCTGGTGCAGATTAATTCCAAGAAGGGAAACAAACGGGCTGGTGCGTTCTGCTGTGATGCAGCTGCCTGCGCCGGTTTGTGCAGACTAAGGCGGATGACGCGGTGCATTTGTCTCGCCTTCGACTGGGATTTTGGGCAAAAAGATGAATTGTGAATAGTCTGGAAACACCCAAAAATGGTGAAGAGCAGGTGAGTAGGTCTTTGCTCAGCAGTCATTTAATGTCCCCTTAAACAGGGGGACCTGAAGGGCTGATGGAGAGGAGCTGGTGTGGCGATGCTGCCACAGGGAATAGAGGTGGAGATGTCCTGCTCTAGTGATTCCAAGCCACAGGCTGCTTGTCCATACCTCCTTTCAGTGTATTTTTACCAGTATTGCTATATTCACCAAATGCTAAACCAACTTGATACAATGCAATGAGAAGTATTAGGAAATAAAAATAAAGGGAGAGCAATAATTTCCCCTTTCACACAGCACCTTTCATTCGAGGGTTGCCATGTACCTTGTAACTCTTGTAAACACGAGACCACCATGAGTTAGGTAATATTATAAACAAATGTTATAAGCTGCTATGTAGAGACATGGGAGCCTATAAGGTTTAGAAAATCAAACCTAAACTGAGAGTGCCAGGCTCCCATTTAGGTACCTACACAGATACCCTACCACCCTACACTGCTGGGCTCCTGACTTGCCACACAGAAAGGAATGAGAGTTGGTGAGTAGTTTCCAAACAGTGATTTATTCAGGATGGCTAAATAAGAGTTTAAAGGCTTCTATTTGATTTTGAGAGGTGAAGTTACAGGTCCAAACCATGCAGCTGGCGGCAACCACAAAGAGCTTGATTCTTGATTCCTCACCACTACAAATATCTCGGCGTCTCTTTAAAATCTCAAATCTCTTTATAAAGACACAATCTATTTCTATTCCCTTATCTTGTATATTATAAGCTACAGGCAGAGAGTGGTTTGGTCTCTTTAACTTGCCATGCCTGTAAATAGAGCTGGTGAACACGTTACCTTGCTGTAGACATTAAACCATTCTGGGTGGTGATTCATCTTCTCTGCTTGTAGAGCAACACGTGTCATAAATCCAAAAGCCTAAGGAGAGAAAAAGCAAAGAGGAAAATACACCCTCACCTGCCAAGACTGGCAGGGGATCTGCAAGATTCACTCCAAAACTCCTAGAGATGCTCCAGATTGCTGTACCTCAGGTTTGTGTGTGCTAAAGGAGCATTTCAGCACCTCACACCACTGGAGCATTTCCTGAGACTGCTGAAATCATCTCCTTCAGACCCTGGTAAATCACTGCTCAGTGCTACTTCCTCCAGGATTCAAAGCCATTGCATGAGATCAATGATTTCACCTCTGGCATCCAACAGTGCTTTTAAACATCCACCCCAAACCCTTCATCACTTACTGCATCTTAGAAACGTGTCATTTCTAATTAAGCATCATGCCACAGTATTACTGATACAACTTCAAGGAACTCATCCTTCCATGTAACTATCTTTGCTGTTTATTTTACTGGGGGGAAAAAAGGGACAGGTGGGTTTGCCCCTCTGCTTTAGGAGAAAGCATTTCCCCTTTAAATGAACTAAATAGGTTTCCTCATGCTCTGCCCCTATATTCTGCACGGCACGCTCCCCCAGGACACAGGTTTTATCACAGCCCCAAGAAGAAACTAATAGCAGGCTCTTGCAAAAATACTTCGGGGCAAATCACTGCATTATGAAGAAAATTAGAATGTCCATGTAAATCAAGGATGCAATTACACAGCGGGGCCCAAAGGGCCTCGGTCCGTGAGCAGGACGCCTCTAAGTCAGCGGGCTTTGTTCAGACCCAGCTCCATCTACTGAGGTTCAGGACTTGAATTAACAGGCAAAACTAAAGTAACATCCACATTATAGTCTGGTTCATATTATAACACAAGCTCAACAAAACTCTACCTGATTTAGGTAGGTTTTTAGTGCTAACTTATGGAAGAGAACGTACGTAGCCCGCATTCTGCCAAGCGATGGCCATTTCAAACAAACATGTGGTCAATGAATAACATATAATGGTTGATAATAGTTTCAAGTCTTTTTTCCTCTCACAAATTACAAAAACCTTTAAGTAAAGAAAGGAATTGGTGCCTGGATGAAGTATGACTTTGTTAGCTGCTTTGCCAGTCAAACGAACGCAAACGTTATAATCAGAGAAAATCATTCCAATGAGGTTTGTCATTTGGAAATCACCAAACTGTCAGCAATTAAAAAGCTTTTTTCTTTGACCCAAGAGCATTCCAAAATTCAGGAAAACCTGACTTCCCTCGGTTTAGTTTTACTTGGAGCGAACAACTGCTTTTAAAAACTGCAAATGTTTCAGCAGCAGCTTTTGAAGCAGAAAGCTGCAAGTTGTGCATTAGATGTCTGAAATGATTTGGGAAACTTCTGCCTTAATAAAGCCAAATGATTATTTGATTTAAATGGTTTTAGTGTGTCCATACAAATGCTATTTCCAGTACAGGAATCTGTAACAGGAATGTCCCCAGAAGTTTAAAACAGCAACTGGATTGCCTTTGTACAAACAATGAGAGTAAAAAATACATTGTATTTATGAAGATCCCTACTAGGTTCGTGTTTGCTCTACTGGTGTCTGTCCATCCCAGGTACTCCCCCGCCTATGCATACACACAGGTTACACTACACAAACACAGTTCATTGACTGTGTGATAATAATCGTTGCCCCAATGGAGTGAGCCATGCAAGCAAATGAGTCCACTAAATTAATCTGCTCTGCAGACTTTCCTTCACACTTTGTGACTACAAATCCTCCCAGTTAGTGGACCACCAAATCCTTTCCAACCGGTGCACCACAACAACCCACCGCCTCTTCCCCTGCAGACAGCAAAATGTCTTCAAGGTGAATAAAAGGGATGCTGGGGAGGGACTCTTCATTAGGGACTGTAGTGACAGGACAAGGGGTAACGGGTTAAAACTGAAACAGGGGAAGTTTAGATTGGATCTAAGGAGGAAATTCTTTCCTGTGAGGGTGCTGAGGCACTGGAATGGGTTGCCCAGGGAGGTTGTGAATGCTCCATCCCTGGCAGTGTTCAAGACCAGGTTGGACAGAGTCTTGAGTTGCATGGTTTATTGTGAGGTGTCCCTCTCTGCACATGGAATGGTTCGGGTTGGAAAGGACCTTACCATCATCTAGTTCCATCACCCAAAACAACTTATTTCGTGCATTTTAGCTTATTTTAATGATACACAAAGTGCATCTCCCACTAATAAATGAGCCACGGTTCTACCAAGCAATTTCACTGCTGCAATCTCCATTAAGGTCCTAAATACTTCCTTTGCTAATTAAACGCATTGCAACGCTATTGTTGATGAATCACCTTTATATTTGTAGAGCCGTAACCTTGCTTAGGGAAAATACAATTGGCTCTGGAAGGAAAAGATATTTAGGTTTGATTGGATATGAAAACACTATTACACAAAATCAGTTTGGACATTTCTTCACGTCTTGAAACTTGATCGGTAATTTGGTCTAATTGGTGATCAAGGAAACTATCTTGTGATCAATTAAAGTAATTACCACATTCCGGCGACACAACCAACCTTAATTGGAGCAGGAGTCTGCACTTCTTCAACGTGAATTAAAAATAATGGGAATTATTCTGCAGTCTGCAGTGCAAGATCACTGCCAAGCCTGCATTGGTGGGCAGAGTTTATCGGACCATCACACGTTTCTTGATGAAAGTGGGACAAGTACTTTACTCACGCCAGTAAGACTCAACACAGTCCTGACTTTCACTATTAATAACAGAGATCTGCAGCCCCTTGGTCACTAACAAGAACTTTTATCGATTTTGCCTTCAAAACTAAAAGGGAGGAAAAAGAAAGGATTGGTGCATTTTCTAGAAGCCATAAAGAAGTATTAAGTGAGGGTCGATGTACTAAGTATGATAAAGTATTCGGATATTTCAGTGACAGGCATATAAGACAGACATTTTCAACTTAATCCTTTTAGGACATTTGGGCTAAAATAACATCCAGGTTACGTTAAATGAGTACATCAAGTCACCTAAGTAATGCAGACTGCAGAGTCCCTGCAGGGAACCACGAAGAGCCACAGCAGCAGCAGCGAGTGAAGCAATCCTACACAGACAATGACATGCCTTGAGCTCCCTTCATGCCTGTTAAGACCATGAAAGAAGGAACTAAAAACTAATGGTGTTTCAGTCATAACAACACTTCCAAAATGGTTTTTAAATACTGGCAGCCGTAGTACGTCTTTATGAGATAAAAATCAGGGCTACTCTTAGAACGAGTTAACCTAAAAGGGTAAAACAAACCCCCAAACAAATCAGGTAACACTCAATTCTCCAAGACTGGCCAAACTGCTTTTGAAATACACGATCACAACGTAAGATTTAATGCGACTTTTTTTTGCCTGAGAATGGGAAAACCAGGGCCAGACACTTTGCTGTCAGAAGCGGGAGGAAAGATGAAATTCCATCCGTCCCTCTGCACCGCACAACGCAGCACGGCTCCGGGAGAACCACAGTATCCCAGAGCTAATCTGCTATTATTCTTCCTTTCACACTTCTTAAGCAAGGAATCAATTCATCTTAATACTTTTTAAACATGCTGCCTTTTGTACAATGCTTGCCAACATTATCTTGATGAGTTATACATCAGAGGAACACAGGTCGATATGTCGTGCTAATACATCACCCGCCCGCGAGTCCCTGGTGATGGATTACCCCAGTGCATCTCCAGAACACAGCAGCTGACAGTACTTGACTCAAAAGCGCAGATATTCAAGGGAAACAGCTGAAAGGCTCAACAATAAAACCATACACACTTTTTATTTGTTTGTTTTAACATGTGAACGCTATGAAGTGCGGACCAGGGCTTCTTAAATCCTTCGGACACTCAGCCAAGGAAACCATATGCTAATCACAAGTACATTAAGGTTTCTGCCTCCCATCTGTCATTATAATGCTGGAGGTAGCATTAACCTTGACCTTCTGCGGTACGAGGGCTACCTGTCTTCCCTTCCCCACCCACACAGGCTTCATCTGTATCATTTATCAGTGGGGAATGAACAAGTAAAACAAGTTATAGAGTCCTTGTCATACAAGGCAAGAGAAGACTGTGCTTCACACATTTGCTTTCCATTCACCCAGAGTAAAAAATACTCAGGATACAGCACATGTTCTCCTTAGCAGCTTGACACTTATAACAACAATAAACTCGAATCATTAAGGTTCACTTCCAAACTGCAGAAGCTTTCACACATCCAGCTGACATTGCTACCTAAGAGCGAGCTACAGGCCAGCACATAAAAGCAAAAAGTTCTTTAATGTTGAGCTATTGGAAGTTATGCTTAGCTCACCACAAGGGTTGCCATGATGTTTTATGTTGTGCTCTGAAGACAAATGCTGGTTTCATTCCATTTACTCCATTAAGAAGGACTCACAAAACCACACTCTTCACCTGAGAGTGACACCATGGTTAAAACAGCAAAAGAGAGGAACCCAACTAGTGATAGCAGCACAGGAGGACAGGCATTCATTCTCAAAACCATGTACCCATTTCGGGATTCTTCCCTGTTGGCATCATCAACCTACCTGAACCATTCCCACAGGCATTGGATCCATGCAGCATTAGGTATTTCCCTTTTCCTTTTTTTTTCTTTCAAGCCTTGTTTGGATTCACCCCTGACATAAATCAGGGGAACACCTTCCCGTTGCTCTCCCCCTTTTAAATATAATTCCAAGAACAACAGGAGACAATGCAACTAAAACACACCCCAAAAAAGAACTGAACTCAGCTTATTCACATCCCTATCCACTGAGAGTGTGCCTGCATTTCCCTACTCCCTCCATCCCACCCCATCCAGGCACCCCCAGCATGGTCTGGAGGTGAAAACCACCCAGCAAACCACTGGCAGAGATCTGGTTTTCTCCTCTTTAATAGCTTGAGCATCATTCCCAACGCATCATTCGTGATGAGGGAGAGCAGTATTCCTAACCCTGAAGGACACTAATAAAGAGAAAGGAGGGAAGAGGAACACTACCAACACACTGGCATGCACTGAGATGCCAT